TAGGTGGGAAGTGTGACAAAAAAACCCTGTTAGAGTAGAAATGGCATTTGCATCTAGCTAGTTCAACAGTAAAATGGTGAAACCTAGTTGCCAATCTAGTAGCACACTTAAATTTGTATACCATGAAAAAAATCTTGTTCAAGCAGTTACCATGAATATATTTGTAGAACAGGCAGAGGGATGTCACATGCCCTAGTTTAATATTTATGTAAGAAACTGAAAATTGTGGAAATTAATATGCAAGAAACTCGTTTACTTTTTTCCGAAAGTGAATTACTTTCCTAAGAAATTCCCAAGATCCAGCACAAATTAAATTAATAAAAAAAAAAATTTAAACTTACAAAATTAATTTTAAACTCTTCATTATTCTCCCCATTTTTTTTTTTTTTTTTTTTTTTTTTAATACCCGTTTTATGCATTTACATTGATTAGCTCATTTTGAACCTTTTGTCAGTTGTATGTGACATTTGGTGTTCTTTTGGAGTTGCTTTGTATATTTTTGTTGATGTTTGACTCTGTGAATTCATTAAACCAATGTTGTTGTTCAGATATGGGTTGGAGGAAAGAAAGAAAATAACTCCTAAAGATTAACAGATGTGAATTGCACCTGAAGAATCTATTGGCTGGAATATTGTAACAAAAAAAAACACAAACATTATTTTTAATTGTGAAGAGTAAATAATTTTGAATTTTAAGAATAAAAATTTACTGAAAAATCTACCAAATTCTTTTCTGAAATCTGTTTTTTTCCTGAATGATATTATAAAATAGTAAGAATGCTATGTTTACAATATGTTGTTCTGCATTTACAGAGTGAAGCAAGCAATTGTGAAAAAGGAAGAAATAGTCAGTCAGTTGAAAGTTGAGTATCAGGCTGCAGTGAAACGAGCTGACCATCTGGAAGGACTCTTAGAACAACAGCGAAAACAGCTGCTTGGCAAGTGATGCGTTGCTATTCACTTTGCCATTTTAGAATTCTGCCCTTGAAGCTGTTTTTGGAGAGAAGTTTCACAAAGTACAAACACACTTAGTCATGTGGGTTGCATTTCTTATGAAATTTCTCAGTTTGGTGTGCATTTATTTAGAAGTACAAACAAATGTATTTATTTTTCTAACATCAGGAATGTAGCAAATCATCAATTTGGTATTTAATCTTTGCTTTGCACAAAGGTCACATTAGGTTCAATTATATTTATTTAAAAATTGAATATGGATTCAGTTTGTAACATTATTCATTACACTTAACCCTCTTTTTCCTTTTTTTTTTTTTTTTTTTTTTAATGTCATAAAAATTCAGTAAAGAAAACAGGTTTCGTGTCTTGAAAATCTCTTAATACTTGTCAAATGATAACCTATATGAGAATAGAAAATCTCACATTTTTTAAACATTAAATTTGAACAAAAAATATATATAAAATGAATTTTTTTATTTTGTTAAATTTTTAATTTAATTTGTTGGTTATTTCATGAATTATAATGCTATTCTTACTATAGTTTTTTTTTTTTTTTTTTTATTGTTGGTCTCTAACATGATTTTCTTGATCGAACACATTAAAGTATAGTAAAGTAGGAATAAAGAAGTGGCTTCCATTGAAACTCAAATCCCATATGACAGAATACAAATTTACAGTCGTACTAGTATTCCTCCTACTCAAAAGTCTCTATTGTTTTTGCTTTGACTTAAGCTTAACTTGAATTCTGATTCAAGTTGTAATAAAATCAAATGAAAAGACTAGCCAAAAATTTCTAATGAAAATACTTACCTCAGAATTTTAAGTAATTTATCATTTAGTTTATACTAATTATTTCAAATTTTGTAAATAATTAATCACGGTAAACTTTTTAAAAAAAATCCATTTTTCCTTTTAGTTTTTTTTTTTTTTTTTTTTTTTTAATAATTTGGAAAATTTTATATTTATCAGAGAATATAATTTTAAAATGTCAAACTCCAAATCTTACAGTGAGTAGATATGAATTGTTTACTAAATGTTTGTACATGGTGAATCAAATGCATAAAATATCTTGCAAATTTTAAGTCAAATTAATTACAGAAATTTTTTTTTTTAAAATAAAAAGACCCATTTATTTTTAAATGTGTGAAGTATTCTTGATCAGATGGGATGACTTTTGGCAGAGTTGTTTTGATGTTGGGTGAAAATTTAATTTGTTTTATTTTCATTTCTCACATGAAGAATCAAAATGTCCAGTTGGCTTTGTATTTGAAAGAGAAAAAGAAAATTATTGCACCAACTGGCACTCACCAAAAAATTATCTCACCAACTTGTTAGAGAATAAATAAAAAAAAAAAAACTCTTTTTAAAGTTAAAAGTAATTACAATCCACAAATTTGATTTAATTTTATTTATTGAACCACAATTCTTTGCTGTTATCTACTGTGATATTTATTCATTAAAACATTCTCATATATAAATATTTAGTGAGTCTGTAAAGTAAATCTTTCTTCAAACAAAATAACTGCTTTATTGATGGGTTCTATCTTGTATAAAAAAAATGAAGGGGGTGTTTGGAAGAGGAATACAATAAATGCCAGTTTGAGTTTTTATCAAAATGTTAGATACAAATGGTCAGCATTTACATTTTTGCATCTGATGTATTTAAATGTTAAAATCTCATTTAACTGTATCACTTTTTTTATTATATTTTTTTATTATTATTGTTTTTAACTATCCCCACACCCTGTGTAATATTTTTATTACTATTATTTTATTTATTATTGTTTTTAACTACCCTACATTTTTTTATCACTTTTATTTTTTTATTTGTATTTTATTTATTATTATTGTTTGTAACTATCCCCACACCCTGTTTAACTTTTTTATCACTTTTTATTATTATAATTTTTATCTTATTTCTATTTTATTATTATTATATTTATTATTGTTTTTAACTATCCAATATTGTATTAAAGTAATTTTATTAAAGAAAGAAGATATGTTGTATGATCCTGGGTGTAAATTTACCACTGGATTTTAAAATTAGTGCATTTTCAATACATTTTTGCCCTAATAAATTTCTGTCTCTTTTAAGCAGAATTGCATTCTTTGTCATATTTATGATCAGACTTATTAATAAAATTTATTTTGTTTAAAGTTCCTTTTCTAAAGAAAATGCATCATTACCATTTTCCATCTTGTCATTCAATTACTCATTATTATTCTGATATATAAGTACTATAACAACTTTATAAATGAAAATTTTGGAGAAGAATTTTTACAAGCTCTCCATATGCACACAGGGAACACCTACTGTGGTTAGCAAGTCTGATTTGCAAAGTAATGCACAAGTATAGTGAGTTTAATCTTTATTGGATGCTTCATTAATGTGACCTTGTGGCAGGGATAATCTAAGATTTGTAAATAACCACACACACACACACACACAGTTATGATTTTTTCCCCATTCTTCCCCCACTTATGCATTATTATTAATTACCAAAATGGAAGATGGAAACACTACCTTGTTTTTCTGCTGTATTCAGAAGAAATCAAAATATTAAAATCATTTCACTGGCTTGTGGTGCCATGTTTCCGTGTTATGTCCCTTCCCACTGTTATCAATCAATGGCTAAATGAAAATGTGCCGATTTTATTACAAACAAAAAAAAAACCAGCTTTGAATAATAGGTTCCATTCTAAAGTCTGAATAATTCTTCTAATGTATAAATGGGGCTCTATCGATAATGTTTCAATGTAATGTTGAAACAACAGTTCTCATACAATGACCAATTAATTATGTAATATTTAACAACTATCATAGTACCCATAAAAAATGACAAGACATTATTTATGTTTGGATTGGCACTTTATTTTATATAAGCTTACAGCTACATCACATTGAAACACTGGTTCCCGTACGCTCATCAAAGTTAAACAAAGTTGAGCCTGGTCAGTACCTAGATGGGTGACCACATAGGAATACCAGGTTCTGTAAACTTGGATGTGCAGGTGGTGTAATGGATAATGTTTTGGAATTTTTAATTGGAGAGACAAGTTCCAGTTAGATTTTTTATATTCACTTACATGCAAATACACATGAGAAAGGTATGAAGCAACCAATTCTCCCCCTAGCTATGGGTTAATTAGTAAGACTTGTATCACTAAACTATTATCATCTCTCCCCCGCCCCCAAATAAAATTACATAAAAATATTTAGATTTTGGCATTAAATAACCTATAGAGGTTGATAAGCCATAAAAGACAAAAACAACCAACCAATGTATAAACACCTCCTTTTCTAACTTCATTCTGCACTGAAATTAATGAACCATACTGGATGAATGGGCATTCAAACTGTACAAAGTTTAATCTTGTAATATTAACCATCCATATTTAGTGAAAGCAGCGATACATATTTCTCTTTCAATATTCTGTTATAGAAATGACTTGTCTATTGTTTTGGTTTATAGTGGACCAGATAAACAAACATGGTATTTTATCTTATCTTTTTTTTTTTTTTTTTTTTATGAACAAATAAAAAAAAAAAAAAAAAATACAGATAATTTACTGGCATCTTCATCCTTTGATGCACTGTTTATTTCTTTTATTTTGCTGAAATCTAAAAAAAAAAAGTCCTTTCCTGTTTAATATAAATAGATGCTTATTAACTATGCTATGTATAAAAGTCTACAGTATTTTATCATCTGGCCATGATTGTGGCCCACCACAACATAAGATATAAAAAAAAAGAACAGTAGTTAACCTCAAGTTTTGAAAAAAAAAACAACAATCAACACACATATTTGACAATATAGAAAATATTATTTTCTCTTCTATATGCCTCAAATGTCTGGATTGTGGAGGAAGGATCACTCAACCACCTATATAGGAAGCTGAGGCCTTATACCAAACCTTTCCTGTTGGTATTTCATTAAGTATTACCTGCTGAAAATGAGGTTTTAACCAGACATTCAGCTGGTCATCATTTTTAGTAATCTGCATTTTTCACAGTGTTTGAACTTTTGTAAACATTGTAAAATTATGCATTATTTTCAAATAAGTCGTTGGTTTTTAGGTCAACATCAGAAATCCCTTAGCTGATACAATGTCTTTATAGTGGATACTCACTATTTGAGATAGATGGTTCATTTTTATTTATTTATTAAACAGTGTGTATTATGCCTATGGTCTGCACATTTGAGAAATCTTAAAAATTTGTTCCCAGAAGGTATTGAACCTGTAAGGGAAACTACTGTTTGATTCAATGTACAAAGAGAGACACAGGTTCAATCCTTAAATGGGATGTTTATTTCAAATATCAGGTATTCACTATAATAACATTTGAAGTAGATTAAAAATAAATTTATTAAATTGGTGTGAGTGTGACCCTATCATCTATCAATTTGGTTATTTCTTGTTGGTTAGATACATGTCACATGTAATGAAGTAACAGATAATATTCAAATATGTGTGAGAAACATTTTTGGATGCTAAAGTGTATAAAAGTGAGACGCAGCAAGATGGTTTGAAAAATTTTTTGATTCTTCATTTTTATATATATATATATATATATATATATATATATATATATATATATACACACACACACATATGCACACACGATAGGATAAAGAATATATAGGAAATGTTTGAGTCCTTCTGCACATAGTAGTTGTGGTGGATGTATTTGGGGGAAAAAAATCTGTTGTGGTCTTGAGTACTTTAAAAGTACTTTTTTGGGGATGAATTTCTCTGCAATGCAGGTGAGTAGGAAATTTCTTCATTTTTTCAAGGAGTAACTTGATATACAAAAAAAAACAACTCCTGTTATCAAGTTACTCTCTGAAAACAAAAACAAATTTCCCTACTCACCTCCACAACAGATTTTTTATAATATGTGCAGAAGGACTCAAACATTTGCTATTTGTTCTTTATCGTATCATTATGGCAGATTCTGATCCATATTTGATATGTAGTTAATCCTAATTTATTTATATATATATATATATATGAGATTTAAGAAACACCAGATATTTTTATATATAATGCTCAATATTAAAAATAGAGGGTTAATAATATTATATGAAAAGATTATTTATCTTTTAAATATCAATTTTATCCCAACATCGATGTTTCTTGGTAAAATTTCCAGTATTCAAGGGTTGTATTTTTGAACGATATTTAAAAATATAAAATATATAAAAATACCATTTAAAACCACAACCCCTGAAAACTGAAAGTTTTACCAAGAAACATTGATGTCTCTATAAAATTGATATTTAAAAGTTAAGTAATCTTTTCATATAATATTTTTTTTTAGATATATATATATATATATATATATATATAATAATTACTAATAAAAAATATGATAATAAATAATTTAAATATAATAATTTTCTGTTTTTAGTTGTTAATTTACAATCACTTGATGAGAAGACTTGGTTATAAATACTTTTGTGAACATATGATTGGATTCTCATTCAATTTTTCATTGGCTGGTCCACTATGCTCTATGCTGTGGTTCAATTCCACTTGCATTGTTGTGAACTGAAACCTAGCATACATTCAAGAAACTGAAGGTGAGATATCACACAGGGAGAAAAGTTTTTTTAATTTATGGATTCACCTGGCACTGTCTGATGGATGGTAGGTAAGTGACACTTGGGAAATTGCTACTTTTGTCTTTCATGACATAGTATCAGATCTTCCCTTTAGTAAAAAAATTCTATTTTATTCTTCATCTCTTCTTACACTAACCATCTTTCTCATATGACTTTGGCTTTCATGGGAAGCTTGTGACTGGACTGCAACTATCACTTATATAGTGAGGCCATATTCGAGATAAGCTCACGACGGGAATTCCTTATCTTCCAGCCAAGGGATCATAAAAGTTTTTATTTATTTATTCATTTTATTTCTTTTTCCCAACTTGTGAACAGTGAATATTTGCTTTGAAGTTCTCGCATCTTAATTTTACTGTTGCTACAGGCCCAGATAAAAATCATTTACACAGGTGTCCTAACAAATCGAGTGGGGAGGCCCATTGTGTTACACTACAATACTTAGTTATAAATACTAAATGTGATAATCTTTAAGAGTCCTTTCTCTGCTTGGAAATAATTACTAATTTTTATGGCATATAAACTACTACTTAAATTTCACTTGAAAAACTGTAATAATTGTTATTAAAACTAGCAATTAATATACATAAATTTGATTTACATTAAATTACATTCTAACAGAATTTATACTAATAAAGTGCTCAATATTAGAGTAGAGTGATAAATATTAAATTAGATATAATAATGTTCAATAGGTCAACTCAGAGTTTTGTAATTTTTCACTCTCTCATGGGGATTCCTGACACCATTATTATATCTAATCTATATTACTACAAAACACTGGGAACTTTGCTTGTGTGTTTACCAGAAGTTATATATAGAGAGTGGGTAAAAAAAAGATGCAAATTTATCATGTAGGAAGTGGGGAAAAGGAAATGGAGAACACACAAAATCCGGCCCTAAACAGGACATGCACAGCTGTCATCAAGGCTCATGCCACAATTGCTAATGAATTTCATGACCTCATGCGAAAAGCAACAGCACTGACAAACTTCAGAGATTGCTTCAGACTACAGCAACACCATCCACAGTAAGAAACAAATTCTATTTCTTGTATGATTTAAAAATACGATTTGTTTATACAGTAAGTATTTTTTAGTTCAACTTTCTTCAAACAGACAATATTTTTAATGTTGAAAGCAACTTTACTGTTTTATAATCTGAACCTTGAATGATTCAATGGGTCACAAGTAGTATACATTAAACAAGCAAAAAATATTGTAAATAATAGTGTTTTGTAAATTTAATAAAATGTATTATGTTTCTTATACTAATTGCAAATAAGTATATTTTTAAAATATCTCTACTTTCACAAACTCTTCATGAAACTAAATGTAAACAGTAAACACAAGGTTGACCCAACGGGTCATGGGTGGTCTAGTTTAATTCTATATCCATTCTTTCTTAAATTGTCTGGATAATTAATTGCAACATAAATTGCATTTATTGTTGAACCAATTATTTAGTGGTTGAAATTCTTATTTGTTGTTAATGCGTTACACTGGCAGCCCTTTACATGCATCTTGGCAGCCCTCACAAAGGTTTCTATAGCCGTGGTACATCAAGAATTTTGTCTATGCTAGTAATGCAAATTATTAAAAACAGTGAGATTTTTTTGTCAATTGGTATGATTACATTGTTTATTCTATCTCAATATTTTTTTTTCTTTTCGAATGTCTGACTATTTTTAACTTCTAAATAAGAACAAATGTAAAGTGAAAACGTTTGTAATTTTGTAATATTTTGCCTTAAAAATGTCGAATTCTACTCCATCTTGTAAAAAGAGAAAATTATCTGAAGAAGGATATGTGCTTCAAGAAAAGTAGGAATTACAGAACTTTTGTACCACTGTTAATAGAAAGATAAACTGTTTGATTTGCAACCATTGCAAAAAGAATATGTGAAAAGACATTATCAAACAAACCATTGATCTTATGATAAATATGGAGATATGTGTGTTACAAAATTGAAGGAATTCAAGGTTAAGTTAACACAGCAAGTGTTGCTTTACAAAAATTCAGAAAGGCAACATTAGGTCTGTTACTGCAAGCTTTGAACTCTGCGATGTCTTGTAAAAACAGCTGAAATTGTATGTCCAGAGAAGTTACACTTATTTCAAGATTTCATTAAGCAAGTACATTGTTGCTGAACAGATTGGTGAAATGGCAGATGATTTGAGTTGACAGTTAAGACTTTATCATCAAATTTTGAACATTTTTCTATAGCTCTAGATGACTGTTGATATCAATGGAATAGCACAGCTCGCCATTTTCATCAGGGCTTGTGACAATAAATTTCAATTTTATGAAGGACTAATTGAACTGGTCCCAATGCATGATACTACAACAGGCCAGAGACAGCTTCTCCATG